GGAGAAATCCTCTGGTTTCCTCCCAAATGAAGCCTGCTTCTTCAATTTGGGTGGGGAAAGCAGAAGCCCTGGAAGCAGTCCCGAGTGTCACTGCATCCTCACCTGCCTGGCCAGCCTGTTCGCTGCCCTCCCGGCTCGCTCTGCCCCAGCCCCGTTCCCATCCATGCTCCTGCTGTGGCTTGGCTCTCAGGAGCTGCAGGGACAGGCACGCTGCTGAAAAAGAAAGCAAGAGCCAAGTGGCTTCTGGAAGACCAGAGGCATCTGCAGGCCAGCAGATGCTGCTGGCACCCAGCGTTTCTCAGGACCAGTTGCACGGACCTCAGGAATATTTATTTGCATCCTGGCCTCAATCCCAGTTGGGATCTTTGGATGCTGCCGCTGTATGAATATTTATTACAGCAGATGATTATCTTTTTCTTGCCGCACACCCTTAGTTTGCATCCTGGTTTTGTGCATTCCTTCTCATGAATCCCATTTTCCTGTTACTCTGCTTTGCACTGTACTCTTGTGCTGTGTTGGGATATAACCAATTATATATAAAAAGAATAATCTGGGGATGGACTCTTGGTTTTTCGATTGCAGTTTTCTCTCTTGGGGTTTTGTTCTCCTTTAAGCCGTGTTCAGTGACAGACAGCTTCATTTGCTCACATGTCCTTTGCCCTCCGAGGTTTAATGTATTTATTTAGAAGATGAAACTTACTGTCAGTATTTGTATAGCACCCTCTGGAGTCTGGCTTCCCCAAAATCTAGAAGTGCATGATTTCTTTCACCAATAAATAAACCCTATTAATTAAAAGATTTTTAGCAAATTGGCTGATATTATTCAGTCTCTGCCATAGCAGCTGTTGGAAGCCACCATATTTGCCGGCTTTTGTTTCACATTGATAGTGCCAGAAAAGACGACTTTGGGTTGGTTTTTTTTACAGTGCAACCACCATGCTCACATTTCAAGGTTAATTAAGAAAACTCAAAAGCTTACTCCGTGTCTCCAGTGCACAAGGTGTTATATTCAGCCTGAGTTCAGAATGAGCTTTTATTTCAAAAATCCCTCCATACAGTGCTATCGAACAAGAGTTGCCACCTTTTGAAGATTATTTTCAGTCTCCTGGAACCAAAGCCAGCCTGGATCAGGAAGCACTGAGGGCTGCGTTGTCTCTGTCCCACCTGATCGCTAGGCAGGGCTTGTGTGCAGCATCCATGACAAGTGTCTGTCCAGGTTGGGTGAGAGGGGATGGTTTGGAAGGAAAAGAGGCGGAGATGCCGAGCGGCTGAACTCCGGGACGAAGGCTGTAGTGTGTTATTATTTCCCCCCCTCACAGTACGCTGCGGAGTTGTTGGCGGTGGTGCGCCTCCCCTTCATCCATCCCAGCTATCTGCTAAACGTTGTTGACAACGAGGAGTTGATAAAGTCTTCGGAGGCTTGCCGGGATCTGGTGAACGAAGCCAAACGTTATCACATGCTGCCGCACGCCCGACAAGAGATGCAGACGCCAAGGACCCGGCCAAGGCTTTCTGCAGGTAAAGCAAAACTCCCTTCAATGACACCAGCTCCCTGGTCCAGCAGTTTCCAGGCACGGCCAGGACATGCCCTGGGATGGCGCACGGACCTCATCTCCTTCCCTTGGC